GGGTTTACAAATTTTATCAGTAGCGTATCGTACAGGTTTTTAAAATAAAAGGCCGAGATACGTACTTCTCGGCGTGCGTTTCGGTCTCGCGCAGTTTGGCAATCGAGCGGCAGAAACTAATTTCGTGCCAACGCGCGCGAAACTGTCTTTGCGCGGTGGCTGAATTATTCGAGCAACGCGCGACCGAGATAAAAGGGCGCGAGTTAACCAGCGAGGAACACGTGTGCGTCGCGTCTCGTGTCAAGGAAATTCGTTCAAGACCCGTATGCCGCGTTTAATTGCCCGCGACACCGTGAAACATGGTTCTGTGTCGCACCTTTCGTCGCGGAACAGCTTGCCGGAATATTTTTATTCCCAGCGCGGCAGTTTCGCAACGCATCCAGTCGAGCACCAAGCGTTTCGACGAGCGTTTCGAGTTCGAGCGTACGTGAGAATTGTTGAAAAAAAAAGAAAGAAAGAAAAAAAGAAGGAAATCCCGTCTTCGCGATAAATTCGTACGCGAGATGCACCGATAGCGATGTAACGAGGCCGTAATTAGACAATCCGATCACTCAGCGGCGTTTCAATCAGGCAAATGGAAAACTTGGCGGAACGTTGCGCGCTTTTTCCATCGAAACGCATATAGGTTGATTATGCGCTCTACATGCGCTCGAGTATCTTCTTTCCGTTTAATGATTCCCTGTTTTGCCCGCTGGTTCGTGCGTTAATGTTTTTCTACTCCAAATGCTCGCGTCCGACGAGCCTCTGTAACAGGCGCTCCGCGTTACGCGTGGTATAGTCCCATAAAAAAGAAGAGAAGAAAAACGTCCCTCTTTCGTCCCTGAACTATCTCGAAGCAAACGCAACGACTTTAATACCGTGTAATACGAGACAGATAGATAACAATGTTTAAACAAAATGTTCCTTCGCTTTTTTCTCCCCTTCCATCCTCGATATATACTTTTTCCCCGTGTTCCACGGGTTTTTTACAATTTGCACGACGATATCGGGTAAACTACCTCAGTTTAATCTCACAGTCGTCGACTCGCGAATAATCCCGTCGCCCGTCGATTGTTTTCACGTAGACGTGGCTCACGGCAACTTCACGCCAGAGGAAGCACCGACAACCGAGTCACCGATCCAAAGCGACGTCTTCGTGGAGAAAAACGGCGCCGCGGAGGGTGAACTTCCGGTCTCGACGGCGAAACACGACGACCCGACGTACATGGCGGTCGTGATCGGCGTGCTGACCGCCGTGATCCTTCTGCTCGCTGTGGCGATATTCCTCATCGTCTCCAGGCACAGGCAACGAAAGTGTTTCGCGAGCCCGATGACCGGCAAGGCACCGTCCCATCTTGGATCTACCTGCGCCACGGTGGAGAAAGGAGCCGCGTTGATGGCCTACACCTTGGAGGACGATGAAAGGTATTTGATAGATAAACATCATACGAAACGTGTGTTTACAATTTCATTAGTATGTTCAACTCACTGGAATAAAAAAAAAGAAAGGAAATGATATTTTATTATGTTACAAATGGGCCAATCCTCGAAATGACAAAATGTTAATATTTAATAGTAATATTCATTTTGCAAAAATAGTAATTTACTATTTTATTGATTACTTTATTGCAGGGATAGAGAAATTTTTCATCATTGTAGGTTGAACTCTTCACACGTAGATCCTTCAAACATCCAACGAATCGTCAATTGAATTTCCTTGTTTAGCTGTCCGATAGTTGAGGTAAAAGGAAAAAGGTACGAATATCGTAAATCTTTGAGGATTCCCGGATAAAGGAACGGAAATATTATTTATTTATTACTATTGTTTAGTTACAATAACTCGCGCTACTCGTCGGAAATATTTCGTACAAATATTTGAAGTCGGAATGATAACGAAGCGATACAATACCGGCGCCGCGCACCGCGACTCCTGGTTACGGCTGAAAGGAAACGGTGTGGACACAAAGGATTTGTGGCTTTCGTTGTTATAGTAAATATTACTACTAATAATATTAGCTTTCGAGATAGGCCTACGGTTTCGCGTCGATTTCGCGTCTACCTTGTGCAAACACCACGGTTTACCGATTTTAGTGCCTTGCTTAGGTCCCGACGAAACGATGTTTGCCAATCGTCGGCATGAAATGGCTGCAAAACAGCCGTGCGCAATAATCGATATTATTGTTATCG